ACAGTGCTCTTCCTGATTATATGTAAACAGACAACACATATAACGGAAGTATATTTCAAACAGAAGGTAAAAAAAAAACTAACAAAATGTGAAATTTAATCACAACAAAATGTGTTTTGTGATAAATACAAACCAAAGTTAACATAATTTGTGACATAAGAGATTAATAACCGGAACAAAATCAGTAAGTATCCACTTAAAATGAGTTCAAGTGCTGAAATATCCCGAAACCCCAGCATCTTAATAACATTAAGTAGAGCACCATGCTCACGGACAATTTTACCCAAAAATCGTTGCATATTATTGCCATATTCGGAGGGAATGCGTCGAATAGTAACTCGAATATTTCTTAATTGGCCGCCCCACCTCGCTATTTTTCCGACCCGTTTAAGATGAAATGCGCCGCGTATCCACGGGACTTCGGTCGCCCATTGACACTGACCTGTAAGGACCGGTTCGGCGAATTGATACCGAGTTTTGGTATAATATCGTTATTATCTCGCATCTTGACATGACAGAAAGGTAAAATTGAAATACCAATTTTTTAGACTTAATTATATCGGTGAAACTGAAAGGAAGATATCATTACAGTAATGGGGTTCTTGGTTTTCTGGTCTTGTTGTGTTGTGATCGTCACAGACCCTGTGATACCCGTGATATGTATTATCGAAATCATGTTTATTAAAATATAATTAAAAGAGTAAAATTTATATAATAAAGTAGTGCAATCGCCATTGGCTGTGAAGTGACTTACATTTAACGTACAATCACAGGTGCAAGTTGAACACTTTAACAATACTCATCTATAATATTAGCTTTTATTTAATAAATGGTCTGCTGTATAGCAATCGTGGTCGACAAATATTTAGTAGCTGTTTGAATTTCAAATAAGGTTAATCAAAATACAAGGAACAAAGAAAATAACAGTCCTTTGGAAATAAGCCGTAATTATATTGAGCTCAAAAAGTTCACCTTTATTAGATGTCTTCTTCATATATAATGTAAATCGCAGGGTTCCGGAGCTTTAAGAATAAATTTATTCCTGAGAACACTGCGAAATCCCCTAGTTTCAATCAAATTAACAAAAATTTTGTGAACATAATTTCCATGCTGGATATAAGCCTTTTTAAAAATACCCCATCTTACAAGCACTACTAGACAGATTTTCGCATATCATACTGGTTAGGTGGGTCATTAAACTCAGAGTTGCTAATTCGATATCCCCGAATTTTAATATACTACGTAACATGAAATGAAGTATAACGCTTTATGATGGACTTATATTAATTAGCAGAATACACCGACTGTCAGAGAGAATATTTTTAAGGTTTAGCATAAGTACTAAAATTCTAAGCAAAGATTTCAAAAATTAATATTCATTCTTTAATATTACTTTCTAAAAACTTTTTTAGAGAATCGATTTTCGTTTACGACCTTTTATATAGCTTATCATACTAAAATTAACTAAAACTAATTACGCTATAATAATAGCATGATTATTTATATATGTACATACCAAAAATAATTCATATTTACAATAAATTTTAGTTTAATACAAAAAGGATATCAAAAAATCTAAACTCGATAGATGGTGCTGTAGACGAATTATGGTCAAGCTATCAATAAATTTTATATTTACACTGCAAACTGTTCGCATCAAAATCAGAGTAAAAAATAATCGCGCTACCTACCGGAAAAGGCAGAATAACGTCTGCCGAGCTAGTTACTAAAATACGTATGTAGATGCAGGTATGGTAGAGCACTGGCTACGCGTTGGGCTACGACGCTGCAGCGCTACTACAGCGCTACGGAGCCGTGTGTTCAAATTCCGTAAAAAGCAATGTGTTTATATGGCCTACAAATAATTATTCCGGGATGTTTGCTTGTAGACAATCCTTGTTTGAGAGTAAATTTTTTGTTACAAATGATCATGACGTATAAGTATTGTTAAATTCAAGAGTTAAAGCTAAAATATTCTAAAAGAACAATTACCATGCACGCATCGAAACGCACATACGACTGTGTTACTATTATTTATCTCTAAGTAGCTTGCCTTAACTTCAAAGGGTCGCTTTCCGCAATGTTTTTTATTATTTTATCATCATTACCGCCCTTCACAAGCCCACTGCTGAGTATAGACTGTTGCATAGACTGCAAGGAATGCCACTATGCACGGTCCTGAGCCACTTGCACCATCGAATTCCATTAGATGATATAATATAATTAAAATATACATGAATTATAAAACAGAACTTCCTTCAAGAAATTATATAAACGATTGTGAAAACCGCATCAGTTAAAAAGGCCATCAAAATATATTTTAAGGCCTTTTTTTAGTACGATGTGTACGTCTTTAGTACCAATTTTCGATATGCTTTGGGTTTATATTTTCTATTATATACTATCGTTGAACTTTTTATCTTTTGAATAAAACTACTTTTACGAATTTTATCTCGTTTAATTAACTTCTTTTTTATTGATTCCCGACGTTTCGGGTACTTTGCAGTACCCCCGTGACCATGGGTGCTGTAAAGTACCCAAAACGTCGGGAATAAATAAAAACTAAGTTAATTAAACGCGATAGAATCCGTAAAATCAGTTTTATTCAATGTGTAGTGTTCGCGTAAATATAAGAAATCATTATTTTTATCTTTTAAGAAGTTTTTTTTTTTTTTTTTATAGGAGAGGGGGCAAACGAGCATGCGGCTCACCTGATGGTAAGTGACTACCGCCGCCCATGAACAACCGCAACACCAGGGGAATTGCAGATGCGTTGCCGGCCTTTTAAAAAGGAGTAGGCTCTTTTCTTGAAGGTCCCTAAGTCGTATCGGTCCGGAAAAATCCCTGGTGGTAAACTATTCCACAAGGAAGTCGTGCGAGGAAGAAAACATCTTCTAAATCGCACAGTGGTGGACCGCCAATCATCCAGATGGTGTGGATGGTATCGGGAGTTCTGCCGCGATGTGCGTTCGTGAAATTTGGCGGCTAGGATTAATCCGAACAATTCCTCAGAGCACTCCCCATGGTAGATGCGAAAGAAAATGCAAAGAGATGCAACATCTCTTCGCAGTGCCAATGAATCGAGCCGATCGGAAAGGGCTCGGTCGTCGACGATTCGAGCCGCTCTGCGCTGGATGCGGTCAAGTGGAAGGAGCTGGCACTGGGGAGCCCCTGCCCAGAGATGGGAACAGTATTCCATGTGAGGCCGAACATGCGCCTTGTAAAGTTGCAGGCGGTGTGCCGGCATGAAATACTGTCCCGCTCTGCTGAGCACGCCAAGCTTTTTAGAGGCCAATTTGGCCTTCTCTTCCAAGTGACCACGAAACTGCACGTCACTCGATATGTCGACTCCGAGGATACCGATACTGGCTGAGGCAAGAAGGGGAGTGCCTTGAAACTGAGGAGATATGATGTCAAAACGTCAATCGCCTAAGTTCCCCACATGACCATGGACGCTGTAAAGCGCGGCAATCAAAAAAGTTAAAATTAACCGCGATAATGTGCCTAATATTAATGTTATTCAATGTGCAGTATTCGCCCAAAAATATAATAAATCATTAAGTCTACTACTAAACATAGGCCTCCCTCAGAGAATGCCACAAAATACGGTCTTCGGCCATCCGCATCCATTGACGTCTTGCATGTCATACCAGGTCGTCACTTAGTCTAGTGGGGGGGGGGGGGGCACCTTACACTAAGAATTTTTCAAGCTATGCCGTATGAGCCCATTTCTATTCCAGCTTACTGACCCGTAGGACTATCTCGTTTTTCTAGCTCTACTGATGTTATTTTCTATATGTAAACTATCACAATGAGAAATTACGAGCATAGCTCTCAACAACTAATTACTTTGAGATTCCTCATACACCTAGCAGTGAAGGAACAATTTCAGAGCTATATGTCATCATTGGCAACACGCACTGGTTGTACAAGTGTCAACATCTTCTCCTCGAAAACCTTGGAGGATCCGACGTCCGATCCATGCCGGTAAATACAACCAATTATTTATGTTCGACCAAATAGCCCATATTTGGTTGCATAGCAGTATTAACAGTACGACGATCTTGGCTCTGTGATCAGCCACTAGCTTGCTCAGTGATGAAAATGGCTTATACCTTCAAGAATCGATTACCATCAGCGATTTTTCCGGACCGATACGACTTAGGGACCTTCAAGAAAAGAGCGTAATCCTTTTTAAAAGGCCGGCAACGCATCTGCAATTCCCTCCCTGGTGTTGCAGTTGTTCATGAGCGGCGGTAGTCACTTACCATCAGGTGAGCAGCATGCTCGTTTGCCCCCTCTCCTATAAAAAAAAGAATAGCACACCTAATAGAACATGCTTGAAAAAACATATGTCCAGTCCTGGTTTTTACATGTGCAATTTTTAAATATTTAAAGCGATAGATGCACTACCGATGTGATTGTTATAATTTATACGCATACGTCTGTGCTAAGCGAAGTGCGCCTGCTCCTCAACCCTCTCATAAATATCTAGAAGCTTTAATTTTACTTTGTTTTTAATCAATGTACTGGATAGTTCTTTCACTATAAAGTATACTATGCACTACTTATTGATTATAAAATTCTATTATAATTATTTAAAATTTATATTAAATCATTAAGGTGACCACTCGTGATTTGTGCTTTCAATCATACATACCTTTTTCTCCTCCACGGGTTAAAAAATCAAACGAAAACACAGACTGACAAGGAAACTTAAAATGTATACTCACCAATTTACAAACGATGTCAGCATTCTAGAGTAAATAACTGTTTTACCTTATATTTAATTAGCAACTTTTAGTTTAATTATTACTTTTACATGTTGCTACTTTTTTTTTGAAAAAAAAAATGTTACCCACCTTTTATGGAAGTCTTATAATAAATAATCACGTTCTCTCGAATTTAAAATTAAAAATACACACTTACTTCGTTTATGCATCAGTAAGCATAGTAATTTAAAAATTTTCATATTAAATAATTGAAAAAAAATTACTCACTGTCTCATGATGTCAATGATGAAATATGCCATATCCTTGAATCCGAGTGGACCTGAGCGTACCATCATGTAGTACTCGTGATGGCAATTTTGTTTCGGCTGAACAAAATCGAAGGTGAAGCCTCCCGTTGTGACCAATGGGGTGCCAGTTTTCCCAAGAAACTTGGTGATTCGCGCCACCGAAGCTGTGAACAAAACATTCAAACATTATTGTGAATAATAATAGATTTTTAGAGTTGAGTAAGAAAATTCATCTCTTCTTATGGAGACATTCCAAAGAAATTCCAACAAGATCATACGGCATCATGGCGGTATGCGTGTATCATATATGAACTATCATATTGAACAACCTATGGTTAAGTAGCCGTAAGTGCTAAATGTCCCGAATTTGAATCCCGAAACAAGCCAAAATCAGTTATTGAGTTATTTGTCAAGAAATTTTCAGTAGCAGCACGGAGTTAGAAAGTTGATGGTGTTTCACGTTCGTGCTTCAGAAAACACGTAAAGCTGTCGGTCCTGCGCCTGTTCGCTCGTGTCCGGTCGTGTCGGATTGCCACTCTATTGGATTATGAGTGTGAGGGAACAGAAAGTACACCTGTTAATGAGCACGCACTTCTGCTAATCCAATCCTGGGCAGATGGTCAGTCTCCGCTGAAAATGGTCACCGTGAACCTAAATTCAGTATGAAGGTTATTATCATATCCTTCCTAGGACAAGGAAGAGTCCACCACTCTTCCCCCATACCTGTTGGCTGATATTGTAATCTAAAAGCTTTTACAAAAATTTACTTCGCAAATATCCGCGTTATAAAATAAAATGATGTGTCTTACCTAGTATGAAGAAGCACCTCCCGCCCTCCCTCAATTGCGTGCACTAACCCCGTCACCACTAATCCCAGCACCGCTACTCCCAACACCACTATTAATGATATTGTAATCCATTATCTTATCTTTCTGTTACTATTGTGTTGCATAAAACAATTCTTTCTACCTTTATTTTAACACACACGTATCATATGTAAAATTTCTATATAATACTAATTATTCAAATCGACATTTTGAACGCTTACTGAAATAAATCAGGATCATCCTTGCTAAAGCATTAATCAAAAACCTATTATAAATGGATTTCTATTTGAATCTCAAATAACCAGAGAAATTTATGCGGTAAAACGCGCGATGATCGTTAACAAATGTTGGCGGATAACTTGAAAAACTTGGAACCATTTTTGGGAATTTCGGTCACGTTCACCAATAGAGAAACGAAAATAATCGAACCACTAAATATACACATCGCTATGTTTTGTTACAAGTTTGAAAACTCATATTAAGTTCAATCAAACCCTTTAATTCAATAAGAAAAAAATCAGTAAACAATAATATCCTTTAAATTTACGATATAATATGCACTAAATTATGATTGAATAAAATTAGTCGTTGGTCATATTAGTAGGAGCCTACGAGCAAGCTGGCTTCGATCCCCGCCAGCATCAATGAAATTGTTAATTGCAGTGTGATTTCTGATTAATGATAAATTAAAAAAAATCGAAGACATGTGAAATCCATCAACATGTACTGGGGCAGCGCGGCAGACATTTCCTTACCCTTAACGCATATATTAAGGAAACCTTTAATGTGGAATTAAAATTTCCCGCCAACAATAAAGCGACGCGATGTTTTCATGTCCCAAAATCATCAGAAATAGGAATGGCCTTTACCACTCAGTGGATATGTAGACTGATAATATTATTTAAGTTAACACTTTCAGATATTTTAATCAACAGATAAAACTTACTCCAGGGATAAACTATAACTCGGACATATTCAAAATTACAACTGAATGAATAAGATAGTTCAAATGTTTCACTTTTATATTCAGTCGGGTTATACCTAATTTATTTGATGAATTACTTTTAACTGATGATTGAATATCAGCCCTAAAGCATCTGTAAAAATGTTATTCAAGCAAGCCACTAAAAGTTTCTTTATTGTTAATTTAACGTCCTATAGATGTTCTTGAGTCTTTGGTAATAAATCTAACCGTTTTTTCGATCTTAACATAGTTTTATTGTTTTAGTGGTTTTCATTGGATATGAGATGTTAAAACAAGAGTAAATAGTCTTAGAAATGAGGGAAGACCTTTGTCCAATAGTGTTACGTTTTTAGGCTTGATCTAAACACAATTTCATTGTTATAGAGGAATGAGATTGTTAAAACAAGCGTAAACCTTCTCAGAAATGAGGCCTCCTTTCTCCAGCAGCGTTACCTGTTTCGGCTGTCACTTTAAGACACGTAAAAACTAAATTACTTGTAAGTATCTCTAACACAACTGTTATTTGTTTAGTATCATTGCGGTGAGATATATTCGCAAGGACGCCATCAACAACATCTCGTGATATAAAAATAAAAAAAATTATCGATAGTATAATGGACGGCTTTTGATTTCAAAGTAAACACAATTACACTCACGCTCTAAATAACGCAGATTTCCGTCATCAAAATGAAAGTGAGAACATGATTGATGAAACGTTGAGTTAAATTAAGTTAAAAATACCTTACAAATAAAAACCGTTTAAGTAACATCTTTCGTATTATTATGTAGGGTAGGTATTTATATAGTTTTCTCATCTGGTTGGGCTGTATAAATATACAATTGTAAATGTAAATGATAAACATACATAAATATCAATCAAATAAAGTAAATACATAAATAAATAAAAACGCAACCAGATGGAAGCTCTCGGCAGGAGAAACCAAACGGCCGAGGGTTAGGGGAAAGGGAAAGAAACCGGCAAATGTGGGCGGTATCGAGGAGCACCGCCTCGTGCATTTGAGCTCGGAGTCCCAGTTGCCTCAGATGACCCGAGAGGCTGACTGGGATTAACCCGTTCGCAGAAACGACTACAGGTATAATTTCGGTCGGCAGTCCACCACACATGTCGGTCACCTCGTGAGCCAGGTCCAGATATTTTGTTCGCTTATCTGTTTCGGTTTTCACGAGGTTCTCGTCATACGGAATGGTAATGTCGACCAAAAATATCCTTGATTATGCCCGCCCATCAACACAATATCAGGCTTATTCGCACGAATGATCCTGTCTGTGCGCGGTCATTTTCGAGCACGGCTTCCGGCATGTACTTATAATAAGGCAGTTTCCGATCCATAAGACCGTATTTAAGAGTGAGCTCCTGGTGTAGAATCCTGGCTACTAGGTTGTGCCTATGCTAGTACTCACAGTTAGAAAGCGCTGTACAACCAGAGATGACATATTGTTATTATTATATAAAATGACTTTCAATATGTATTACGTAATAATCTAAATTGAATAAAAATTATTCTATTCTATTTTATTTCACTCTTACCCCTGAATTTGTGTAGCACATTTTAATATTATTTCAAATTTTAACTACCTACATTTCAACAAAATCAACACTCGTAGAAAAATTTGACGCTAAGTGACGTAGGTTTAGCAATTAGTTGCACTGCTGAGAGCCGCATCTTCAAATTTCGCACGGAACAAGTATTTGTATGCACACGTATTTGTACATACAAGAAATAAGTATTTGTATGAACAAGTATTTGTACAAATATTTTTTTCAGGTCTAGATATATGTATTTGTGCAATTTATATTTATAAACTGCTTCCGCGATACAGAAGAAAATCCTAGAGTTAATAACAATGCTTTTCTACAAAAATATCTCTGTAACGTATAGACAGATTTACAAACACTGAGGAAATGCCTCTGAATTTGGGATGAGACACTAAAAACAAAGAAAATACAAGAAAACGAACATCCCTAAATATTCCATCGACCGCATTATCAGGTTTTTATAGACCACTAAAATTAGTATACCCCTTAAAAATTTACCATACTCACCACGTTAAGCGCGCGTTGGAAAACGTAGAACTTAAAGGGCATCGATATAAGATTTTTTTTCTTATAAAACTTTATAAGTCAACATTTGACCAAGTGATAACAAGTGATGAAATTGCTAGATAGTAAACACGTTAATCTAGAATTTTTTTTTTTTATAGAATAGGGGGCAAACGAGCATGCGGCTCACCTGATGGTAAGTGACTACCGCCGCCCATGAACAACCGCAACACCAGGGGAATTGCAGATGCGTTGCCGGCCTTTTAGAAAGGTGTAAGCTCTTTTCTTGAAGGTTCCTAAGTCGTATCGGTTCGGAAAATTCGCTGGTGGAAATTGATTCCACAAAGAAGTTGTGCGAGGGAGAAAACTTCTTCTAAATCGCACAGTGGTGGACCGCCAATCATCCAGATGGTATGGATGGTAACACGAGTTTTGTCGCGACGTGCGATGGTGAAATTGAGCGGCTGGAATTAGTCCGAACAATTCCTCAGAGCACTCCCCGTGATAGATGCGATAAAATACGCAAAGAGATGCAACATCTCTACGCAGTGCCAGTGTATCGAGCCGATCGGAAAGAACTCGGTTGTCGATGATTCGAATCGCTCTGCGCTGGATGCGGTCAAGTGGAAGGAGCTGGCACTGGGGTGCCCCGGCCCAGAGATGAGAACAGTATTCCATGTGGGGCCGAACTTGCGCTTTGTAAAGTTGCAAGCGATGTGCCGGCATGAAATACTGTCTCGCTCTGCTGAGCACGCCAAGCTTTTTAGAGGCCAATTTGGCCTTCCCTTCCAAGTGACCACGAAACTGCACGCTATTCGATATGTCGACACCAAGGATTCCGATACTGGCTGAGGCAGCAAGGGGAGTGCCTTGAAAATTAGGAGATACGACAAAGGGGTTCTTTTTAGCGGTAAACGCGCAAACTTGTGTCTTCTGGGGATTGAACTGGACTAGATTTAGTCGGCCCCAATCCGAGACTTTGTTAAGCAAAGACTCGACTTCAGACACAAGTTTGTCCCGGTACTTGGCGACGTTTTCCCGAGAAATATTGGCACGGCCGGTATATAAGGCATCCCCAGTGCTGTCGTCTGCATAGCAATGAATGCTACCAGTTAGCAAAATATCATTTATATGCAGGAGAAACAGCGTTGGTGATAGCACGCAGCCTTGTGGAACACCAGCGTTGATAGGCTTGTAATCAGAGCATGCACCGTCTACTACGACCTTGATGCTTCGATCAGCAAGGAAACTGGTGATCCATTTGCACAATTTCTCGGGAAGCCCATAGGAAGGAAGCTTCGAAAGAAGCGC